CAAATATGAAGTACCATCTCCCAAGAGATGATATGCAGCAGGCTCTGCAAGACACTGGTGACAGCAGCGGGCTTGGGACCCTGAACAGATAAAGAGATACCCTTGTTCACAGATAAATCTATCAAGTTTTCAGGTGTTTGCTCAAATATTATTAATTCTGCTCAGGTAAGGAAACATTTACTCCTAAGACGCACAGATAACCTGCACAGGCTTGGGGCTCTGTTGGCTACACCTCCTGCATCCTGTGCTGTCACTACGTTGTGCTGCCATGACTCTGCAGACCCTCTCACTGAACTCACTCAAAAACTACCAACGTCCTCCTGCTTGCAACTTGATGAGCCCAGCCTTAAGAGCTTTGTCTCTCACATGAAGCCAGGACAAATACGCCATTCACTGGCAAAACATGCCGTTCACAGTGACCAAAAGTGATCTAAGTGGTCTGGGGAGAAAAATAAACAACCGTTGTGTTTTCCATGACTTTCTCACTTCTGTTTTCCAAGGAAAGACAGACACAAGGCCTTCTGTGACTGAGATTTGCTCTAAGCTACAACAATGTACAGTCAAGGTGACAACATCAGTCATGTTTTAAGGCAGTTGGACTTCTCAAGCTCCTCACTCTGGAAATCTGAAAACTTCTGGGGATAGCTGTGAAATTTCAACTGATCAACACAGATACAGCCTATGGAGTTGTTCACTAGCACACAGATAAACAGAACTTACTGCAGCAAATACAGCAGATATCTAATTAGTAAATGGGCATTCATATTGTTTGCAGCAGAATTTGGATGAAGCCTCTGATTTGTCTCTGAATGGTCAAAGTTGGGATGGTGGACACATCCTCACATGGCGAAATAGCAATGTAAGAAAGCGGTATGCACAAAGCAAATGTGAAATCAGGCTGTGTACTATTTCCAAGGTCTTGTGCTGTTTCACTGGCACTAAGTCTGCTGTTTACTCTTCACTTGTTGCTATGCATAAGTGCCAAGTATTTATTAGAACAAATTATTAGAAATAATGAGAAGCCAATAAGTAAATCAATAAAGACTCGTTTATGCGAAAAAATACGTTTATCCTCACTTCTGATAAATAGCCAGGCAGGCAAAGCTGAAAGATCTCCACGTCAAATGAATAGTCAAGGCACTGAAAAATAAATTTTGGTGAATTAGAGCAGGTTCACCTAAAAGGATACTAAATGTAGTTTCATTTTTTGTGCCTACTGAGCATGAAAAAAGTTTGTACACAATGAAATCACTAGATGAAACTACAACATGTATGTGACTTAAGCTTATTAACATCAGTTTGCCCAATTTAGATAAAACAGATCAATCGCTGTAGAGTTATTCCTTATTTGGAATAAAAGGGCTCAATTTCTGGTAATTTTTATTTCTTAATGTCCCGTATTTGTCCTGTTAAAAAAAGCTCACTTGTTCTTAGCTATACCACACTGATATCATGGAAAATATCTGTCAGGAAATCTCTTTCGTCAGCTCTGTTTAGCCCACAAGATTAATAAAGGCAGACCACACAGACATCCTCCACCCATTTCATGGCACTCTAAAAAACCTCCTACCACAAGACAAGCTCCAATTATTTCATTTTCTTTCCTTTTCTTTTTCTCAATTTTTGAGAATCACCTATCATCATCTTAATGGAGCTCTCAGCTCATACATGTTGTTTTTTTCCTATGATCTTCCTGTGACTTCCTATGTTGGGGTCATTCTCCTCCTTTTATAGGTGGGGACACTGTGGCAGGATTTGGTGCTCAGTGTGATGATAAGGAAAGGTATAGGCAGCTGTGGTCCTCTTTCAGAATGTAGGAGAAAGAGGATGACAAATTAAGATAATCAGAAAATTAGGAAATAAATAAATTTTTAAAAAATAATCTAAATTTGGTATGGACATTTGAGGTAATTAATGCTTTGGGTACCTTCAGGACCCCAAAAGCATAAATTGTATTATCAGTGTTAATAGCTTTTATAATATCATTGTATGTTATTCATGTTCCTGCTGTGCTTTTCTTCACTAGGTGGTAACCACAGAAACCAGAAATCAAACCAAAAAAGAGCTATCAGTGACAGAAGCATGGTGATATGGCACAGAATGATACTCTGCATTTGTTATCGGTGACCGCCAGAAAGACAGACAGAGAGAGAGAGAAAAACACCACAGTTGCTTTAAGATGTGTATTAACTCGGGATATCAAAGCGCAAAACCAGAAATACGGTGTCTGCAACAAACTCCTGAGGGGAGAAAAGCAAAGAATTACCTGACGCAACAGCTTCAGAGGGTGAAGCTGCGTTTTTTTCCCCATAAACACAGCTCCATGATTTAGTCTTTCCTAAAGGTTGAATATATAAGCTCTCAGCAGAGAGATGGCTCTAGAAAATAATTAGCTCTATGTGGTGAGCAGGCTGCAAGCTGCCTGCACTAGTCAGCATTCACTGCTTGTGGCAGAGTGCCAACTACATACACATAAGATTCATCCAAAACTAGCTCCTCTGATCCCACAGCTAGCTGGAAGATATGGAATATTCTTGAATAAACCTCCACTTGCACAAATATAAACTTTATGTCCACCCGTACATAGAACTTTAAGAGGTAAAACCAATCCAGATGTTCACTGCTTTCCAGAGACAAAAAATGCAACCAGTACTAGAATTGCACATTAACCCTTGTTTAGAGAAATGTTGATCCTTTCACACTTCTTTAACTTGGGCAATCACCAAGATGAGCTGTGTCTAAACAGCCTAAAAAGTGTTCATAACCTGATTTACTTTCCATGCAGAGAGATTTACTTATATTCTGTAGCAGTGAATTTTACTTAAATAGATAATACAGAGAAGCACTTTGAACTCATGATTTCATAGCTCCTGCACTCCTCCGTATTCTGTGAGGCCTGAATTTCCCTGTATGTGTGGCATGGGAGGTGATTTCTGTTCACACACAATTGAAAAGAAACTCAAATCTTTTAAGGCCTAGTCTATCATTAAAAAGCCAGCCTTAGCCAAGAGCCATCATACATAATTGTTACGTTTATTCTAGGTTGGTGGGTTTGGGGTTTTTTATTAAATATAGTTTTATTTTCAGTATGCAAGTGTCTCCATCTAACTAAACTTCATCCCTGAAATGAGGTGGAATGCTGCAGGGTGAGGTTTGAAAGGCAAACTTAGGAAAATTGAAAATAGGTGATCTTACCTGAGTTCTTTATCTTCTCTGAGAAGTCAAGAGGGCAACTCCTCACAGAACCCATAAGAATGAGCAATTAAAAAAAATGTATAACAAACTATTCTAGAAATAATAATTAAATTTCCCCCTGACCCATAAGGTTTGGGAGCCAAAAGTTTCTTCTGTCCTTTTTAAATAAAAAACCTCTGCTACAGGTTGCTAAAGAAAGGGCTCTGAAAAATATACTAAAGATTTCTGCTGAAGTGATTTGAGTTGGCAATGCAGCTCATTGCTTATTATTTTCTTTTCCCATTTCATATCCAGACAAGATGACCAAAGTATAAAACCCTCAAGTAAATTTTCAAAGCACATGGCACTAACAAAACTTCAACAGAAGCAGTTTAGACACTGAGTGTTTTTGGAAAATCCCATTTTTCTGATGCAAGATGAAGTTTCACATTACTGGGGATTGCTGCAGCTTAATAGGAATAAGTGTAATAACCATAACATAACCAAAGAATGGCTAAAATGCCTCTTTTCTCCTACCCTGTGACCTACTGTTTGGGCCCCCATCAGTCTCAGGGGTATTTTTCTCCCCACCCCCAACTGACTAGGAAAAACATTTTTCTTTTGCAAACTCTTATTTTGCAAAGGTGACAAATTTGCTCTGTTCTTTTGTTCCCTTTTGGGAGTTTTGTGCCTATTTCAAATGATGAAATCCTTCCTTTGTATCCCTCAGCCACTGGAACAGAAGCCACATGATGCTGATAACTTTTAGAAAGGCAAGGCACTCAGAAGGGTGGGTGCTGCCATCACCTGCCCAGTTGCCCAGCATGGAAAGACCAACTCAGGTGGAGGATTGGAAGCACAAGACAGAACAGTGCACTGCTGGAAGAGCTCCAGCTGGCTGTTAGTCCCTGCTTCAGGGCATCTTCCTGTCTGAAGGCAAAGAAGAAGTTATAAGGAAGCTGTGGTTTTAAGAAGCTCACTGCAGACCTCAAGAGAAGAAGGATGCTTTGAGAATAAATTTTATCATCAATAAGTAAATGGATTTTTTTTCCCTCTTACACTTAGTCCACGTTTTATATACCAATATTTCTAATTACATGGACATACACTACTAATGCTGACTTTTCAGAATGCTGGAAACTCACTGATTTTGCGGGAACATGTTCAGTAGTGAGGCCATTAAGTGTCCCTGCAATGAACAGATTTGCTCAAACACTGGCCTCAACCACTTGAGAGCCTCTACAACAGAAGCAAATACTGAGACCTGTTAAAATAATGCAACTTCAAGCAAACATAATTGCTTCAGTTACCAGGTTGGAGGTGTCACCAGCAATTCACTTTCAAAGGAGTAGAATTCTATTAAAACCCTTCACTGGTTTGGCCTGGACAGATTGAAAACAAAGCCAGGAGAGAGATCACCTTTTGCACATGGCAAGACATTGCTGACTGCAAGAGTAACTCACAAGAGAAAAAACAATCCCACCCAGTCAAGTTTCATGAAAAATTTTTATTAAAAGAGCATTTGGAAATAACATATTTCATGAAATTACAGAGTCCTAAATAAATTAATTCCTAAATCTTCAATACAATATAAACTTCTGTTTAATGGAACAGACAATATTACGTATCTGCACAGAAAACGCTTTTTTTTCAAACAACAACTACAATTAAAACTAACTACAATAATGTTCAGAGAAATGGTTTCACATTAAACTATTCCAGAAGAAAAGGACATAACATTTATTATTTTTATATATTACTTATATATATTATATATTTTACTCATACATTACTTATATATATATTATTATATATTACTATTGCATTGCTTTATATTAAATAAAATCATTATATATATATTTTAAATATAAATGTATATTAATATTTTTAACTACATATTACTTATATTACTAACATGTATTACTATGATATGACATTATTACTATATAATAATGTATCATCAAGAGTGATCTACATGGTGGATTGCAGCTGGTTTCATAGTTTAACATTAAGCAATCATAGCATTTCAAACCCATCATAAAAGTCCTTATTTCAAAGCTTCCATTTCCTTTAGGAATCCAGACGAGTTCTTTTCCTTGGACGTGCCTCCTCCTCTTCATCCTCATCAGTAAAATTAAATATTTCAAATATACATTTCTGCCAGTTGAAAAAGGAAAAATAAAAAAGAAATTTATCGTATTAAAAAAAATACAAATGAGCAATTGCAGTACACAACCCCCAGCCAACCTGTGCAGGACACATAAGCCTGCCAGTAGCAAGTTTCTGGGTGATGCCTTTTGCATTCCAAGACCCTTTTGTCTGGAGAGTGGTTTTGAACCTCAGCTTGAGCCTCCTTGCTCATCTGATCTGACCACAGAATTGTTTCAAAATCACTTTGTAAACTCCCAGCTTCAAATGCACAGATCCAATGTGCAGTTCTGCAGAAGAAGCAAGATTAACCTGTGCCCACCAGATTACCAAGAGACTCCAGTCCCGCCTAAGCATTTCTTAAACCTTCCCCCAAATTAGTCAGAGTTTCACTAGGCAGAGATTTGGCTGCATTTATCTCTAACTAAGACACCCTGCCCACAGGCCATTGCTGACCGTGCCACGTTATACCCGGCAAAGCACCATGAGGCTGCTGCGCTGTCCTACACGAGGGCAACAGCTTCCATACAAGCTCTCCCACCTTGACAGGTGACATCACTGTGGTCAGGGGTGTGGATGTTGCATTGGAGACATTGGAGCTTTGTGGTGATGTCGGAGCTGCCTCCTCTTCAACTTTACTGCCCCGGGGTCCTTCATCCGCCTCGGAGACTGTTTCATCTCTGACAAATGTCTTGCCAGGCAACATGGAGGGGACACTGCAAGAAACATAGGACAAGTGATTTGAGCTTTGCCTGATGCTTCAGACTTAGCCAGACTCAGAAATGGCTTGCAGAGCTTTCAAGGGAATTCAGCATGTTGCAGAAGGCAATCCAGCTCGATCTCCAGTTCCACCCTCACTGTAAACTTCAACAACCCAGCTGACAATGGGGGAAATGGAATCCTAACTTGGAGGGACAGAGCAAGATCCTGCTCTGCATAAAGGGCGAGTTTCTGAATGGAACACTTAATCTAGTGACCCACAGCAGCTCTACTACATGAGGCCACAAGAAAAGGCAGATGAGGGTTTACTGCAAATTAAGAGGGTTTTCAGCAAAAATGAAACCCAACCCCAATCCCAGCCACCTTCTTCTGCTGCCCTTCTGGAAAAGAAAAACAACCAGCAGTCTTGTGCAATGGCAGTCACTAGCAGTCTCAGAAGACAGAAATTGGGCCATACCTGTTCAATGTCTGGCTTTGACAGTTTTTTTCTTGCTCGTATTTTGCCTTCAGTCCCTGGAACGTGCGAACATATTGGATGGAGTCCAGCTTGTCAGAGAAATTCTCAACTATATGTTCGATAAGAGACTGGATGTCTTCCTGCAGAAGAACAAAACAGGGTTTTAGCCTCCAATATTCACATTCATAAGGTCAGAAAGCTTTTGAGTTTTGTTTGGAAAGCAACTAAGCCCTTCTCCAGAGCCAAAACATTCTTGTCAAGAACAAATGGGAAACAGGCAGATTTATCCTTAAAAAAAAAGCTGAGATCTAGAAAGAATTATTGAGCTTCCCATAGAAACAGACAATAGACTCAGCAGTGTCCCAATTTTACTTGTGACTCTTCCACCAAACCAGGATGTTTCCTATCTGGGAGAGCTGCCTTTTGCCTCTCAACCTGAGAGTCCATGGATGTGTCAGTGCTGAGGCTGCTGCTGAACTTACCACCCGGATGAATTCAAACAGCTCCAGCAAGGCAGAGTTGAGCAAGTTGTACCTAGTCCCATTGTCCAACAGAGCATTTACAACTGGCTCAAAGAGGTTTCCCAGAATGATGTACCGGTTGTAAAGATCGTCTTTCAGGTCAATCATCCTCCTCATAAAACGAAGAGCAGCTGTGTGAAGAAAGACATTCAAGCATTTACTAACCCCATGCCAGGGCTCCAATCTGCTCCTCGTGGAAGAACTGAAAATTCTGGTGTTATCCCAAGAGGAAAATGCACTCCTAAAGCAAGAGCATTAAGAAGCACTTGGGGAAAGTGCAGAAGCAGGATTTGCTGACAGATCCCCTTTTCTTTCCTTCTTGGACTTTGCTGGGTATTTGAAGGTCATCAGGGACCATTGATCTCTTTCTCAGGTCCAGCAGCAATACACTTAAGCATGTGTGAAGTTCAACTCTTCACTCCCTCCTGTGCTTTTCTCTGCTCCCCTCCCAGAACCAGCCCCAAGTCTTTAACTATCCTACTTCACAGAATTTCATTCCCTCTCCACAAGGAGCACCAGATTTAGGACCTTCTTAAAGAAGGACACGATTTCCATGGAAATGAGACAAGAGATCTCATCACTAAGGATCCTTACTGCCAGGAAGACCTGAAAAGATCCCTGAGGACTTCAAAAGAGACCACAATCCTCCTCCCACCAGGAACTGCAGTGGTCTACGCTCACGGACAGATGCTACCTTTCTTGCCAAATTACTTCATGGTAGCCAGTAAAACACAGGAAATCAACAGGACTTCTAAGTTCAAGTGTAGACACTGGTACTCTGGTGCACCTTCCACACAGGACACACAAAGCCTTGATGAAGGAAACCACAACAGCTCCATACTCACACAAGGCCAGAAATTTGTGCTTGGATTTCAACAATACCAGGATTCTTCTTAGCAGATCTTTGCTTGTAACATACTTCTTCATGTGATACCTGTGCTGTCGCACACAAAAAGAAAGCACCTCCAAAACTAAAGCAAGTATTTCTGCTGTTTGATAATCATCTACAAGAAAAAGGAATGTATTCAGTTATACCAAAGAAAGAAATAATGTACTGTCGTGTACACTGAGCTCCGTTGATATTACAGTTTGTGATGTGTTTTTAGTGGATTTTTGTCTTACTGGATTGCTTTAGGAAGCAGCACGTTGGGTCAGAACAAAACAACAAATACAACTGTGTCTTTTTTCCCCATTACAGCCAATATTCTTTAAAATCAGACTGGGAAAACTACTACATGACTCACAATAGACATCAAGAAAGTACATCTGTGCAAAGCACAGCATCAAGCTACATCAGCATTCACAGCTGCAAGAAAGGGCAATGAAAACTCCTGCCAGTAGAACCACTGTCCTTGAAGGAACAACAGTTTGTAGCAGGAATATTCCCAGCTGGCATCAGGGGCCTATTGTTGTTCTCAGGACTATAACTCCCATCGAAACATTTCAGGATTAAAGGGGGAAAAAAATCGTCATTACCTTTGTCATAGGATTTTTCTGATGTATCAGCCAGAAGTGGGGCAGTAAGAACATGAATGCAACGGTCGTAGAAGAAATCGAGAAACTCAAATATTTCTAAATTCTAAAACAACAGTAACTCCATTAAACTCTGGCAATCACATATAATCTTTTAAATACGAAAGAGTAGTAGCAGAAGAAACAGCCTAGGAAGAATTCTACTGACTCCCTCAGTTCTGCCTCTATCTTTTATTTAGGCCTGCAGCACTGTCTTCACTCAAGCAAGATTGACTTATTTATTTTGGGAAAAATCTGTGAGACAGCCAACCAACCTAGCCATCACCAAAAGGCTCTCCAGCATGGATGCAAATATAAACACATCAAATGCAGAAACTCCTCAATGACTCAAAGTGCTTTACCAAGTGACCTTAAACCACTCTGACATGCAGTTTCTTCTGCAGCCAGAACAACCTGCAAACCTTTTGACTGGTATTCTGGGACATTACAATGTATTAAAACATTGATTTGGTTTCACACAGACTCTACTGGACTCTCTTCTTTCAGGATTTATCATCCAGCTAGAGGGAGCTACAGTTAGTGCTATGGCACTGCCACAGGGGACTGCTTGGTTTCGTGCCTGCACAGTGCCCCAGACACACTAGGGCACACTTTCATTAGCAAAATTCACTTCTGTTTTGCTTATTTAAACTCACTACCAGACCACACTCCACTTAATAAAAAAACCCCTAAAATTGTTTATTCTCTGCCCACAATAATAGCAATAGAGACTCTCAGGCTTTTAACTTTGCTGAGACAGTGATGTGTCTTCTGCCCTTCGTGTTCACTTACACTAACGCGTTCCCGCATATTCTCTGGATCAATCAGAATAAGCAAAATCTTCTTTAGCTGATTATCTCCTCCAAGTGCAGGGTCAGAGTTGTTGATCAACTGCTCAATGATCACAATGAGGAGTTGGTTGTTCTGCAAAAAACAAACCAACCAACAAAGAAAACACAAAATAATTATTAGCAGGAATGGAATGAGTTCCCCAGTTTCTGTAATTTTTTTAAATAAAAATTAAAAGAAAACAGAGAAATTGAGACTTTGCCTCATTATTTCCCTGTTTGCCCTAAAACTAGTATGTTAACAATCTCCAAACCACTTTTACTTACATTGTCACTCTGATGGGCCTCTTGCAGTACAAAGTCGTGGACCGTGAAAGGATTAAAGTATCCTACATAAGACAATATATCTGCAGCAACAGATCTTACTTGCAGATCATTCATTCCCTAAGACAAAAGAGATTAATTTGTTAGAGTATATCAAGTTTGGTATTTATTATCAAGTGAAGATTCAAAGGAGAGGCACTTAAAAATCTGGACAATGTTTCATTACAAAAGTTTCTAGGAGAAACACAGTAAAACAGTTACAGAAGAACAACAAGAACCCAGGCAAATATTTTCCCACTCTTTCCCTCCTTTAGAAAGGACACAAGGTTTTCTGTGAACTTGAGAGCCCTAATTTAGGCCAGAAACATTCACATCAGCCTACTTGCTAAAATATCTCAGACACTGATCTTTTCTACCTGTTATCCACAATTCATTTGGTACAAAAGGACCAGCTGTACAAATCAAGGTGTACAACAATCTCTCTGCTCATTTGCAGGCAACAAGAATTCAGATGGGATTGTGTCTCACGAAAAAAACAATCAAGCTGCCACATCAAGAAGAGTCTCTTTCAAGGTTCACACCACCTTGTCCCAAGGACTGCACTGCCCACAGACTTCTCCATCATGCAAAGTAAAAATCATAAGAGCAATCAAGCCAGGCTACTCCAGAGTAGAACTGTGGGCAGCTTTTGGAGGCTGAACATCACAAGGAACTTCCACTCTCAGCAGAGCAAAGCTCTCCCATCAGACTTAGACGAGGTAGGTCCAAAACACTGGTGAAATCACTAAGACCTTTTCTAGTTTTATTAAAATCAGCTGTACATTTTCACTTACCATTAACCTTTCAAGAGTTGGAAGAATTTCAAACTTTGCCAAAGTGCTGAGAAATTCACCTCTATTCGTAGGTAATGCATAAGAAAAGGCAAAGAATTCCCTGAAAAACTTCACCTAGTGCACAAGAAAAAAATAAGGCCAGGTTTATTTGAGTCAGAAAACTCTCGGAAAGGAGGAAACAGTTCTGCGGTCTTGGAGGTATTTCTGGAGAATCAGCCAGGACACCCTCCCTTTAACACAAACTGTAACTATCAGAACAGTTTCACTCTTTCTATTTCATCTCTTTCATTTAAAGCATTCAAGGAAACACCGAGAACACTGGCTTACCAATTCACGTAGTTGCTCATCAGCTGTAGCTTCATCATTCAATTTTGCAAAAATTTCAGAGAAAAATATCTCATCTTTCTGTGGAACACACAAAAAGAACACAACTTACACAGTGTCTCTGGAGAGTGAAAATAAATCTTTCTAGGATCCTCCACTGCACAAAGTCAAACTCTCCACACTGCCATTATTTTTATCCCAAAGAAAGCAAATGCCAGAGTACACATTGAGCAGGATCATTTCCAGTGTATTGTTTCAGCACTTCCTGTGTGTGGCACAAGCAGCTCTGGGAGACCAGAGCCACAGGTGAATCTGAGCAGAGGAGACGATCCCTTAAACTGACCCCTAAATTCGTCTCTACAGAGGGTGGCACTTCCTTTCCTTCTGTGCTGTTCCACCCCAGGGCTTTGCAGCTCTTCTCAACCTCATAGATTCCCCGTGGGATCTGCCACACACCCCACCCCCAGCAAAAGGACAGAAAAGGGCAGTCCGAAGCTGTGCCAGGCTCCCTCCTTGCACCTTGCATGGAACCTTCCAGGGAAGCAACCCCTGCACTTCTGCACTAGAAAGTGCCCACCAAGAGACAATATTGACCTTGCTGCACCCACGCTGTTCACACTACACTATGAACAACCCACAGGATCAGTTTCCCTCTTTTGGATCTGTAGCATTGCAAGGCATCTTTTCAGTCCACCTCTGCAAGGGGGACAAGATTAACAGGTTACAAGTTGGCTGCAGACACGTCCTCCTTAATCGTACTCACAATAAAACCTTCTCTCCCACTTGCAGGAGCTCTGCTTTGCCAAGATGGGAAACTTTTGGGACTATTCTTTGCTTCTCAGATTCATATCCTCTGCTGCTAAGGCTCACTTAAGGATATATAGGACAACATTTTATTTCTTGTAAAGCATTTTGGTTACCCCGCTGCTTCAGACTCCAAGAAAACCAGGGTGAACATCATCATCTCTCAAGTGTTTGGGTGCTCTCTGCCCTCTCTGCACATGTATTTCTTTGTACACCTTCACACGGAAAACAGTGTAACAAATGCCCCTAACAGAGAATAACAAATGTTGCTTGTTCCTGAAATACCTACACAAAACCAGTTCCAAAGGTGTATGTTGCTTGGCAATCACAGAGAAGGACTTTAAACTCTTTACAACCCATTAAGAAGTATTAAGATACTCACTTGAAATCTACCGTTTTGAAAGTACAGAATGCAAGGCATCAGAAAGAAGGGGAAGCATTCAAACATTGTGCAAATGAAAGTGATTGACTTAGACAGTGTTCACCAGCTGGAACCCATTTCCAAACCACAGCCAGAGGGATCTATACAGATCCCATCTAGGCCACACTTACCTGCAAGACTCTTAAAATCTCCTCTTCGCTGCGTCTGATGAATGCAGTGAGGGTAGAAAGAAAACCCTCTTCCAAGTCAGATGAATTCTGCGAGATGATGGCATGAATGTATTGCGCCCTGAATGTCTGGCGGATTTTGTGCCTGATTTCAGGGTCTCTTGTAGGAATAACTTCCTGAAGCTTTGCTGTTTTCATCAAGAACTCCCTGAGGCTTTCTGGCTGAGCCAAAGACGGATCATATTCAAGGCATCCAGCAACATTCAGAATACACTCGTCAGAAAACATCACCTCAAACAGAACATCTTCATCCAGGTACAAAATTCCTCTCACAATGTCAAACAAAAGATGCAAGCCTTCAGTGTCCTTTAAATTCTCACAGACTTGGAAAAGCTGCAGCAGTTTGGGAATATAGCCTTCCTTTTTCAAGGCCAGGGCTAGCTTTTCCTTACCAACGCGTGAGCGGCCAGCAGAGCTCACGAGGTCTGCGATCTCTCCAAGTCTGTGGACTTCACAGCTGGGAAGGTCCATCAACGGAATACTTGCACTCATTTCTTCAGGTGTTCCTCTTCCGACTCAAGAAGGTCCTGGGCGACTTCCACTGAACAACGCCAATGCCAAAAAAAGGGAATGGGAGGGAAGCAAGACAGGAGCACATGCTGCACTGACCTGCTGCTGCACTGGCCTCCCACTGCTCTGCCCCTCCAACTGCCACAGGTATTCCAAGGCCTTATGGTGTCACCTGGACCAGAGCCTTCTGATTGGTCCATCCCTCAACATTCTGGATTACTGGGCTCATGACAGCCAACGGTCACAACCAACCAACTCCTTTTCGTTGTTGACCTTTTAGGAGTTCTGCAGTAACTTCCAGTACCTTCAGGGGCTCAGTAAGGAAGCTGGAGAGGGACTTTTCCCAAGGCAGGCAGGGATAAGGGGAATGGCCTTAAGCTGTCTCTGGACTGCAAGGGTGGTAAGGCACTGGCACAGGTTGCCCAGAAAGGCTGTGGATTCCCCATCTCTGGAAGTGTTCAAGGCCAGGCTGGATGGGGCCCTGAGCAGTCTGGTCTAGTGAGTGCCATCCCTGCCCATGGCAGAGGGCTTAAAACTAGATGATCTTTAAGGTCCCTTCCCACCAAAACCATTCTATCATCCTATGATCTGGAAGAGAGATAGAAACAGTAGTAACTGTATCATGGCTCTTACCCCCTCCTGGCTTTGTAAGAGCAGCAGTCTTTATCTTTTCAGGGAGCACAAAGGGTAATTTGTGTTTGTGCAACATGTTAGAAATTTCAAATGCCATCCAGCAAAGGTAAGTGCTCTTTTTCCATCAGTTAATTTAATGCTGCCGCGTGGCTCTTCATACCACACTCCCCAAGGGCCACACTGGCCCTTCCAGCACAGGGCACACACTGCTACACACAGAAACACCACCACCCAGGAAAAATCCCACCAGCCCATCAGGGCTGGAAAGCCTTTTGAAATCAGATGGCAATGAACAGGCCTAGTGTTTCCCCATTGAGGGTGTGTCCCAGCTTCTTCTACCCATGGAAAAATGCATCTAAAACATGCATGGAATAAGTCCTGTGGGAAACAAAGCAGAAGGTTTTGTGGAGGCCTTTGGAAAACAGGAAGCCATGCACAGGCACAAGTTGTGATACTTTTGCTGGCCAGCATCTTTTTAATAGAGAGTTTTTACTGGAAGATGTTGATCTATTTTTAGCAAATTAATCAGGACAGAAGTAATTTTTGAGGAATATCTCATTTGGACTTGAAGCTGTGAGGTTTCTCTTCATATTTCTGGTACCTTGCTTCCTTTCTCCTCTGGAAACACTTTTTCTTTAAAAAAAAAAAAAAGGGAATTAAATGTTAGAAATGAGAGAGAGCAGAATTAAAATGTTTCAAGCCTGGTCATTTATTTTTTTTTGTTTTCATTTTATGAAAATTCTCAGCACTGAATTTTCATCTCAATTAAAACTTCCTAAAACCAAGAAAAATGTTTCTACCTACTCTATTAAAAATGTTCAGTTTTGTTTGTTCTAACCCATCTTAACATGGTTAACAGAAGGAGGGTTGCAGAGTCCAGGCATACCACCCTGAGGAACTGAGGAGGGCACTAGAGAGCCCCTAAGCCTATTTGGGCTAAGCTTCAACACCATCATCAATACTAGCATTTCATTAGATATTTTCACGTTATCATTAGCTGTAGTACTGTAGCTGTACTATCATTACAATTAATTTGTCTTACCTAGAATAAGAAATTCCAAAAAAATCACACATTCCAGCCTCAAAAAATCCATTTTTCCCCCCTCTTTTTAGTCATTGTGATCTATGTACCTTCTAGCTACAAACATTTCTACCCTGAAATCCCTATAGAGGAAATCTGCTAGATCTCAAGTTTCTCTCTTTGCATTTTTGCAAAGTTATAACACAACAGGGTGGACAGAAAAAGCCCGAGGGAGCACATATTGGGCTAGGTGCCCAGAGAGCTTCACCTCTCCCCAGGCCTTTTGGACTGCTTTAATGCCCAGTACATTGAAGAAAAAAACCCTCTCACTCCAGTTGAACATAACTGCAAGCACAAAAACCTGTGGCAGGGCTGGCAAGACTAGTAAAGCTCATTATTTTGTACTAAGCCACAGTGCAGTCAAGTGCATTTTGTTGCATAAGATAGAACACGTCAAGATCTTGAACTGGCACAGAAAAATGGGTGAAAGTTTCTGATTTAGTAGAAGCTAAGGAAGGTGCATGTTGCCAGAAAATTATAGTTATCCATTTTGCTCCAGCCTCAATGACAGTGGTTAAAAGCCTTCCCAGGTCTTAGAGCAGCACTGTGTGCTACAGCCAAATGGCAGAAGAGCCTTTGGGTATTAAACAGATCAAGAAATTTTAAAGGTAGCACTTTTTGACAGTTTGCATGTCACATTTTCTGCCCTTTGTATTTAAATGGCACCTAGGAACAGACTAAAGATGAATATACTTAAATTTTACAATAACCTATTTCAGCCTTCATGCCTTCCTAGGAGCATCATCTTCCTTAGAAAGGGACTTATGCCATATATTTATTTCTGAGGGAAAAAATTTACTTTATGCTTGGTGAACATCAATCCTCCAGCGGGTCCCCTTCATACACACCTTGTTGTCAGTTTGCAGCCACTTAAGAGAAGAGCTGGGGAAGAGATCTGGGCATTTAATCAGTGGATGTGTAAGGTTACAGGAAAGCATTTGTGAGAAAAGGAGAGCAGGCCAGGCTGACCAGCAGCCGCCAAAGGGACTGGCAGAGTGGGTGCCCTGATGGCAAAGAATCCGGAGCATAGCTGGGACATGAGCAGGACACCTGAAGGAAATTCATGTGGGATGCAGAGTGGTACTCAGCCTACATCAGTCCCAGCAAGCCAGTGTTTGGGGGAAAATTATCAGAACAAAGTAAACTCAGTCTTTTTACCTACATCACAAAACCCTTCCCAGAAGTACTAAAGCATTAATTAAATTGCTGTCTTCAGTCATTCGATTTTAAACACAAACTTCTTTTCTGGGAATATTGTCTTTTAACGTCCCTAGTATATCAGAGCAGCTTGCTTTATATAATTAAATCAATCTCACAGCAATTTCCAGACTGGCTGTGCAGCACAGCAGTCCCTGGGCAATCCACACCTTATTCAATGTCTGCTCTTCGCTTAGACTGCACTCAGTGATGGTGTAAGGAATGTTTTGACTCAGAGAAGAGACAGAAAATTGCAAAATGCATCCTTTCCTGACCATCTGACCTCCCTCCCTTCCCAGCGATGCAGCCTCAGGTTCAAAGGCCCCATGGCAAATATCATTCCCTCATCTGAGATGTGTGAGCAGGGTTTACTAAAAACCAGACACAAACGGCAATCACATACACCTGAGGTAGCCCAGCTTTTCTGCGGTTGTTGCACAGCACAGTTGGAATAAATAAAAACTGCCTTGAAATTAGCTGGAAGTGTATCTGTGTACACACTAACAAGGGATCTCGCCTCTCTGACTTAAATAGTTTTCAGTTTATTTCCCTCACTTCTCAAATTCAGAGAGAGACCATTTAAATCAAATACTACACTTCAAATCATGTCCCTTTTTGAAACTAAAGAAAACAAATCCCTAGCTGTTATTTACTTCCCAATTCCTTTGCAGGTACTGCAGTCCTTGTTATTCAAACATAATCACAAGAGGAAAAACAAATCTTCTTCATGTAATTATATTTCAAACACTTCACTTTCAGGTCATTAAATCTCTGGTATCTTCCTCCCACTCTCCCAGCACCCTCTTCTGTTGTTGCTCTCCAATGGCTGCTGTCTATGTGGCAAGCCTTCCTGGCTGGGGAGCCATTAATACCGCAGATATCATTATATTGCCAGTAATGAAACACTCAGTAAGGTGCCCAAGCAGCTGAAATTATTTATTCCAAACTGTAATCTCTTGAATTTATTGACTATGGACTTGAAATGACACTTGCTGTTGTGCTGTTTGCTCATTGCTCCCAAGAAAAACCATCACAGTCTTTTTTAAAACTTTTTTTCCTCTAAAATCCTGTCAATTCTTTTTTCTTTTTCTTTTTTTTTTTTCCCCACCATTCTACTGCTCCTTTTCTCCTCTCCTCTAGTCATTCATGAGCACCTCAAGGGAAGGTCAGATCAATGGTGAGAGTGAGAGTGCAACAATCTGACACCTGTCACTGCCCTATCACAACGAACTACAAACCAGCACAAGTCACCTGCATTCTTCCATAAAATGAGGGAAAATACCTCCAACCCCAGAGATATTCTGAGAATTCCCCTGAAGGCATTAAACCAGTGCCTTAAAGAAAGTTTCAGTTCTAGATCATGAACTTTTTTTTTAAAAAAAGCAATTTTTCAGAAGAAAACTCTGAAAACATGACCAGGGACAGAGATCAGGACGATTACGATTATCAGGATCAAAACATGTGTACTTCCAGAGTTATTTTGCCAGAGAGCATTTATGTTCTTGTCCTGAGCTTTCATGGGTATCTTCCAACATGGTGCTGATGGCGGACAACACAGCATTCCTTACAAGCACAGAGCAGCTTCCCATAACTGAGTGACATCTGGTTCCTGCAGTGCCTTGCAAAAGCAAAAGGAGACTATTAAGATTTTACAGTGCTGATACTGCAACACTTGAGTAGCTTGTAAAACAAGGTGATTTAAAAGTGCCTGAATCCACAGTAACATATCAAACAAGGTGTTGGTTTGAAGGAGAACAGTATTCATGCAGGAGCAAATCCCCTGCCTGCTCGAGTGCACCATGGATTCTGGAGGAATTGCACAGGCTTCACTCGGACAATCCAGCTCCCAGTTTGTTTAAGTAAACAGGGATTCAGCCCAAACAATAATGTTTTCTTCTTGACGTGGCTAAGCATCTTCACAAAGTGGATTAATTAGGTAGTTAGCAGTTTTCCCTGATTGTTGATAAACTCCAAAGCTGAGAGGACAGTCAGCAGTTAAAGCACTGCGGCATGTTTGTGTGTGTGAAATGAGGGAGTATACAAACAACATCTCCGAAATCAGGGGGATTGGTTTGATTTTTATTGAAGAATGGTGATGTTCAGAAGGATTTGCACAAGCAGCTCTGATGTTCTGGTTTTCTGACTGGAGTCAGCTCACTACCTCCATAACAGAGAATGTCACTGATTTCCTTTCT